TATACCGGTAAACCCATAGAAAAAGGCATCCAGACCACGAGCCATAAACAAAACCGGCTATTGATCTGCAAACAACGATTTTAGAAAGGCTAAAAAACAGAACAAGTTACTTATCCAACCCTTCTTATTATTAAAAGCGTTTGTTTCCACATTTTATTACTGAGCCTCACAATTCGCTACTGCCATAGCTTTAGAAGTTATAAAGTACAAAGCTGGAAAACAGTTTACATTTCACGACGATGCCAATCACAGAGAAAGACAACAACTGTGTGAATTTCTGGTGTAGAAAGTCTCTAGGAAAACTTAACCATGTGCCAACCAGCAACAAAACGGATAGTTTTAGCATTCTTGATTTATTTTATGTCAAAATTAAATTCCTTAATGAAAGAAATTGTTCCAAAAAGAGATCTCTGATCAAGATATGGTACAAAATCGGCTGCTGTAGGCTGCCAACGATGATGAAAGATGTCAGAGTTTCGGGATGGTTTTTTCCAACATTTGCACAAATTATTCGGTGATATCGATGCCATAACCTACCTCAAACCACCTGACTTCACGAATCGACAAATATTTACACCAATATGTGGCTACGGCAAAGAAACCTTTCTCTACCACTGACATATTTCCATCGGTCGCCGTACATGCATATAAAGTTACATGCGACAACTTCGCAAATGCAGCCACGTCGTTACCCCAGCATTTCTTGATCATAATAGTCCAGAAAACAGATCTCAAACCACTGCGGTTTGTAAAAAGTGAATGAAGTCCTCCATTACAAAAGCTGTCAGTTCCGTCTGTAACAATGAAATTCTTACGGATCGACTCAACAAAATACAGCTGCATACAGTCTGATGTTCAATTAATTTCTACTTCTGTAGTAAACAAACCATGAACGTATTCTTTCATTTTATGTTGGCATGAATATGTGTTGACGTTTCTTGTAAAACAGCTTTTATAAGTTATCATGTAATGCCTGCAAAAACTCTTGTTTTGAAGTGCTGTTGTTTGTTGTTTGACTGAACTGAGTTTTGAGAAAGTTCAACGCTATTAAATCGTGAGTCATGATTGGCTTATGATGACTTTAGAGAGAAGACGTGACTTGATCATGGTACTAGAACCATATTTTTTACCTAAAACACTCCATTCTACTAGAAGTTATTTTATAAAAGCAATAGACCACACTTTCTATGGGTTTACCGGCGTGATAACCCACACGGGATGTTGGGAAAACACGAGAAATTCAGCTCGTGATTTACAAGCTTTTCGAGTGCGTGCTTTTCGAGTGTGTTATAATAATATTCGGAAATATATTACATTATTAGATTATACTACTGTCTATGAAAAAAGTAGAAAGGGTTTGTCAATTTTATTGTTGTCTCAGGATCCTGAATACCATCCATTTTGGGAGTAAATTTAAACTGTTTATTCTTTTAGACTGCGATCACTCCTTACCTCCCACAATAATTGTGTTTCCTTTAATTTCAAGTCACTTTCCTTAACCAGCCTGCCAAGTAAATATGACTCAATGGCCTGTTTTATGAGCAAAATATAATGAAAGCAGTTTTGAGGCTCAGACTTCTCGACCATGCATGGGTGTAATGGTTTTTATGGCAGGCAGCAAACCTGAAGATCAGTAGTTTGTACTGGTTTCCACTAAAGTCTTGGTTTCAAAGAGTTACAAGACAAGAAACTGCTCCACTTTGTCCACTGGAGGTTGGTGGTTCAAAGCTTAGCGTCATGTTATTTCTTTAAAAAAGAAATGTTGCCCCAGTTTGTCTCTTCACATAGGAGTATAAATGTATACCAGCGACATACTGTTGGGGGATAGCCCTGCGATGGACTAGCATCCCGTCCATAGTGGAGCAGCAATACTCCTAGGTGATTCATGTTACAGAGACCAGGTAAGTTCTGGTTGTGTACAGAATAAGGGAAAGTCCAACTTGTAATTCAAGAGCACTATAACTTAGAATAATTTAAAAACAACTTTGCCATCATCAATTACAGTGGCAAGCGGCCGGAAAAGGTTGGCAATTTCAATGAGACTTCTCTTGGGAGCTTCGCTTGATGGAACAAACCAGAGTCTGCTGTTTGTATCCAGCTGAGGATTGCCAAACTAGTCAACTGCTGCAAGAAAATGTTGATTATGGCCAAAAGAATGTTGTAAAAAATACTGCGCCCTCCCAAATGATGGCGAGGCACCTTGATGAATGACAATATAGGATAACGTGGCATACCCCCTCCTTTTTTCTGCCTGCCATTTCTGCACCCTGAAGTACCCAGATGGCACCCTTTTATTGTGTCACTTCGACGGATGTAGTGGAACTTGTTGGCACAACTATCCCCACCTTCTAGCATGCTGGTTTCGTCAGCAGAATGATGGTGCGACTCTGGTGGCCAGCAAGAAATGGAAGGGAATGTGGCCAACCTTCTTGCATTCCTTGCATGACTCTTCTCAGCTTCATATAAAGTTTCCAAGGCAACATACTCTGCGCAAATGACCTTGTAAAGTTCACGTAGTTGCACTGAATCCTAGGGTGTTAAAACGATGTTCTGCCCTTGGTCTTTATTGATAGTAGAGAATCCTGTGGGCAAAGTGGCAAGAAATGGTTGCCTTTCATCAGGAAACTGCCAGACTTCATTATCAGTTTCTTTTGCAAATAAGAAAACACATTCCTATGATTTTTTACCAATTGCCAATATATCTTCTGTAAATACCACCTCAATCAAGTGATGCAGCATTCGCCTTGAAGCAAATCAATTTTTCATTGTTAAATAATGTTTGTATCACCAAATACATGGGCTCCTCTGGGGGGAGCTCTGACTGTGTCTGTGCAGTGGGAAAGGTGCGGCTATCAAAATAAATGTAAAAAGATCGTTGGTTAGAGTAATGCATTGACTCCGGGGATCTAACAAACTGCAAAACCCTCAGTAACACAAATAAGAGAATAGGTCTGTAGGAACACTTAAAGTGAGGAATGCACAGTCTGTTTATCAACAATGTCGAATACAGAACTGCATTAATAAATTACAATTTATACTCATTTGAAGGGTTGAAAATCCTTCGTTTCTATTGGCTCTGTGAGGTTTGGCCAATTGTGTGTTATGATCCTTGTCAGCCCAGCATAATTTGTGTTTTTGTAACAAAAGGTTGTGCAGATACTGTAGTAATTTGCAAGGAGAAAGGTTCTTCATTGATTACCCGGTTTTGGGGTCAATATTTGTATTATATTTGTGCAAGAAGTATTGTCTTTACATTGTACAGTGTTTGCTTAGTGTCATTAACTGAGTGTAAGTGATGTCACCTGCTGAAGACAGGGCCTGTCTAGTAAGAACGATCAGTGTAAATTGGGTTTGTCAGGCCTACACTACTCCCCTGTGCGTTATTATATTTTGCTCTCACGAGTGTCTTTGAGAGACCCCCCTCTTTTGTACGATATGAGGGGCAGATTTTTGTAGATTTTGTTCAGTAATGATTGTTGTTCTATTAAATGCCACTGTTATTTCCTGTAAGGGTAACTTAAGTTTTTCCCAATTAGCGTTTTAAAAGAGTTGTGTAGAATCCTTTGTGAGCATGCAAGGCTTGTCGGGACCCATGGGTCTGTAGGCGCCATTTTGTAATGCTGGAGATTTGAAGTTGTGAATTTTAGGAGGTTTGGCACTGGGATATCTCCATCCAGCTGAGGGAAGTTCTCTGAAGAAAGGAAAACCAACTTGGAATAGCTTGCAAAGTGAGTACCCTGCTTAATAGCGTGTCTTAGCCAACCAGAGTTTATGTTTTAGAAGAAAAAGAATATTTTGAGCAAAAAAATAACATTCATGACCAGCTATTTTACTATCATGTAGAGTAATCCCAGTGGGTTGGGAGGAGAGTTGAAGTTTCAAATGGATTTGCACATAACAATCAAATACTGTAGTTGCTAAGAAAACAGGTTGTGGCTTTTTACTGAGAGTGAGATATGGAAGGAGAGAGCTAGCTACATGTACTTACAATTACTTGAATTCCTTACTGGAGCACCAAAAGAAATGTCCTAGAGTGCACTTGTATCATAAGTCACCATCACATGCACTTTACCAGTACAATCCGTGTAACCCATCACAAAAGTAACAAACAGGCCATATGTCTTGGCTTGCAGCTCATCAGGTGATGTAGGGGGCTGTGCAAGATCCATGAAGACATGAATGACATTAAGGGTGTAGGGTTTCACTGCTACAAACAATGGATTCCATAGATGGGGGCTTTGGGTCATCAACTTCAAGAGGCCAAAGTAGTTTAAGTTCTCGGACTTTTTGAAGGAGCTGCGGTCGCTTATCTGCGAACTCTTAAGACACCCTTTGATTTCACATTCAGCAGTCTTCCAACTGGCCTCAAAGAGCGATCAATTAAGGTGCCGTACTTTAGATCATTACCCAGATTGCTTTTTGTCTTCATTCTCGGCACGGCATATCTTGTATGAAAGTCTGTAGATGACAAGTAATGATATTAAACCATAAAGGTTCTAATGATGCTATACACCACACACTGTCCCATATACATGTGGATGGCACATCTCTTTAAAACGATTCATCTAACATTTTGAAAGCAATTGATGAAAAATCTGCCTCGTTACTAGTACTGCTTGATATGTCAAAGGCTTTTGACAGCCTTAATCATAATCTATTGTTAGGAAAATTACGAAAACTGGGTCTCAAAGCTTCCGTCATTTCCTGGTTTAGTAGCTACCTATCAAGTAGATACCAAAGAGTACGATACGAAGATTCAGTCTCAGAATTGTTACCTGTAACAAATGGAGTACCTCAGGGTTCGATCTTGGGTCCTGTGCTTTTTACTATTTACATTAATGATTTAATCAGTGTTATTACCCATAGCCAACCTGCTGCATATGTTGATGACAGCCAATTGCACTTTAAATTTTCTGTATCAGACTCATCAAGTGCTATGGCAGCCGTAAACCAAGATCTTAGGGACATCAGTAAATGGTGTGCAAAGAATTCTCTACTCAAACCCAGAGAATATAAAATTAGTGGTTGTTGGCTCAGCACAACTTATTAAGAGGCTACCTCATATCTCCTTATCCCTGTTGGGCAAAACTATTTTACCAGTGTCAGTTGCTATACATTGATCAATATCTACCTACCTAACCAGTTGGTACAGATGGGTAGAATTAAACATCTTTTGGATAGGAAAACCCTTTTATTACTTATAAATAGCTTTGTTTTCAGTAAACGTTTTTACTGTTCCTCCTTATGGGGGAACACATCTAAACGTAACCTACACAAACTGCAGTTGGTACAAAATTTTGCTGCCAGAGTTGTATTAGGTTTAAGGAAGTTTGACCATATCTCCCAGGGACGGAGATGTCTTAGATGGTTAGATGTTACGGAGAAAGTTCTATTTAATGACTTAGTTTTAGTATTCAAATGTGTAAATGGCTTAGCTCCAGATTATTTCACTTATGTCCAGAAATGCATGCATTGGCGAAACTGGCGAAAAATCACCAGCCTCTGGCGATTTGAATTGGATGCCAAAAGTGGCCCCTTGGAGGCTGGCGATTTTGGCGAAATTGGCGATTTTGGCAAAAATCGCCAGAGGGCTGGCGATATGTGGCAAAATATTCAAATTGGATGCCAAAAGTGGCCCCTTCAAAGTAGATAACTAAAGAGGTCCTTATAACTGTGAGGCAACAGTACTAAAAAGAAGTTCAAATTACTTGCCTAATAAGAGGCCCCAATAACTGTGAGGCAACATTTATCAAATACTACTGAATCAAATATATGACAAAACAGCTTTAACTGTCAAACAACATTATTTTATCAAATACAACTGAATCAAATATATCTGAAAACAAAAAGTGGAAGTCGTTTCAGTTAAGCTAATATGTATTTGTGCCATGTACTTCACAGGTTAAGTAAACATTTCCTTACTTTCGATGTCGCTTGACTTACCAAAAGTGATGTGATGCGCTAAAATATCACACTAGCATCATTTGCTTTTGTATGGTTCATTCCTTTCAAAGACTTACAAGTCCACTAATTACTCGAGGAGAGAACTACCAAGTCCTTGAAATCATAATTCCTTGCCATGGACACTCTAACTTTTGAGGTTCGATGTAGACCTTAACAATCCTCGCTGGTTACAATTCTCTTCACATTGGTTCCATTAAATTGTGAGGCAGCCTTAAATCAAAAGCGATTGCGAAACGCATGGTTCCTGGCTAAAAGATGCTTTCACGATAACCAGTGTGTGCCCTTCATTCTTTTTTGGTTCTCCACTATACACATTATCTTCTTCCGTCGTTTTAAACTCTTCACTTTCTTCTTGCACTTACTTGTTTTGCTCTTTAGAGAAACAGTCCCCTAAAAGTAACGAAAGCCGAAATGTCCAGCAGCTTGCATGCGCCATTTTGAAATGTGTGAATTCGCTTATTTCTAGTTTATGTAAACTTGCATGAAATGTCACTTGTGCCCAATACTTCACCGCATTTATTGAACATAAACATTGGATCAAAGTAATAACAAATTGTCTCTTTCATAAAACATATCCCATTCAAACTAATTCTGTATCCTTTCATCAACTAGATATATAAAAAGAGAGTATACATGTTTGTCTCGTTCTTAAAAAATGTGTCCCATTATTGCTTTATGAGGTGGGCCAGAAATTTAGAAAATGTATTGTTTTTTTGCGCTGAGACCACCAAACCAATTCTCAGTACAATATGTGTTCCATTAAATTGCTAATGCTAATGCTCGTCGAAACACGTCACCCGGCCTTTTTACCTTCCATTTTAACAATTGCCTGAGAGTCCCTGTGAACAACATTAATCGTTTCACTTACATAGAGTGACCACCAAAGTCGGCTGGGAATGACACTAATCGTTTCTACTTACATAGAGTAGTTATCCAAAATCAACTATTTCAACATGGCCGCCGCGTCTATATAACAACTACTAAACCTTACACGTTCACGTTCTGTGAAACTGCAATGAACCAGCTCGTTTATACATACTTGTACCATTGAACGCCATTATAACAAACAGGATGGATATACAAGGCAATACGGACCATCTAATTATCTGAATGCGTAGCCAAGAACCAACCTGGATTCCTCATAACATGTAATGTTGAACTGTCGCTATTCAAACAATGCCTACAAGCCTGGAAAATTAAGGATACCTATCTTGGATTTTTTGGTAAGAAAGTTGCCATGAACATTACGAAGATTACCATTTACTGATAATTGAATACAACTCGTTGGCCATTCGATTTGAATTGAGCAAGAAATTAGTTACAAGTGGTAATTCCCGACCAAACACTCTTGTCTGGGACGAATTTCAAATCACAAGAGGTTATCAATTAAAGGTAAAAGCATTAAAAACAGATTAATGACACTTAAGTTACAGTAGCGTTGTCATTATTAGTATACAATTATACTATTGGAAACATATTTATATTAATATGTGGTTAACTATTTGGCAATTAATAGCCATTTCAAAAGGGACCCTTTGCTATGTCATTTCAGTTTGTCTTGACAAATTAGGTATTTCATCGAGTAATTGCCATTTCTGCCAAAACACGTTTTAAGAACGAGGCCAACATGTAGAAAGAATTAGTGCACGCCATTTTCGCCAAAATCGTCACTTTCCAAAGGGCCCCTTTGCCATCTCATGTGCATTTTTGTTGATAATTTAGTGATTTCGGCGATTAATTGCCATTTCTGCCATTTTCGCCAGATACACCATTTTCACCAAAATCGTCACTTTCCAAAGGGCCCCTTTGCCATCTCATTTGAATTTTTGTTTATAGTTTGGCGATTTTGGCGATTAATTGCCATTTCTGCCATTTTCGCCAAATAGGCCATTTTCGCGGAAATCGCCACTTTGCAAAGGGCCCCTTTGCCATCTCATTTGAATTTTTGTTTGGCGATTTTGGCGATTAAGCGCCATTTCTGCCATTTTCGCCAAATACGCCATTTTCGCCGAAATCGCCACTTTGCAAAGGGCCCCTTTGCCATCTCATTTGAATTTTTGTTAACAGTTTGGCGATTAAGCGTCATTTCTGCCATTTTCGCCAAATACGCCATTTTCGCCGAAATCGCCACTTTCCAAAGGGCCCCTTTGCCATCTCATTTGAATTTTTGTTTATAGTTTGGCGATTAAGCGCCATTTCTGCCATTTTCGCCAAAATCGCCACTTTGCAAAGGGCCCCTTTGCCATCTCATTTGAACTTTTGTTTACATTTTAGCGATTAAGCGCCATTTCTGCCATTTTCGCAAAATACGCCATTTTCGCCGAAATCGCCACTTTGCAAAGGGCCCCTCTGCCATCTCATTTGACGTTTTGTTTACATTTTGGCGATTAAGCACCATTTCTGCCATTTTCGCCAAAATTTGCAAAGGGCCCCTTTGCCGTCTCATTTGAATTTTTGTTTACAGTTTGGGGATTTTGGCGATTAAGCGTCATTTCTGCCATTTTCGCTAAATACGCCATTTTCGCGGAAATCGCCACTTTGCAAAGGGCCCCTTTGCCATCTCATTTGAATTTTTGTTTATAGTTTGGCGATTTTGGCGATTAATTGCCATTTCTGCCGTTTTCGCCAAATACGCCATTTTCGCGGAAATCGCCACTTTCCAAAGGGCTCCTTTGCCTTCTCATTTGAATTTTTGTTTATATTTTGGCGATTAAGCGCCATTTCTGCCATTTTCGCAAAATACACCATTTTCGCCAAAGTCGCCACTTTGCAAAGGGCCCCTTTGCCATCTCATTTGAGCTTTTGTTTACATTTTGGCGATTAAGCGCCATTTCTGCCATTTTCGCCAAATACGTCATTTTCGCCAAAATTTGCAAAGGGCCCCTTTGCCATCTCATTTGAATTTTTATTTATAGTTTGGCGATTTTGGCGATTAATTGCCATTTCTGCCATTTTCGCCAAATACGCCATTTTCGCGGAAATCGCCACTTTCCAAAGGGCCCCTTTGCCATCTCATTTGAATTTTTGTTTATAGTTTGGCGATTAAGCACCATTTCTGCCATTTTCGCCAAAATCGCCACTTTGCAAAGGGCCCCTTTGCCATCTCATTTGAATTTTTGTTTATAGTTTGGCGATTAATTGCCATTTCTGTCATTTTCGCCAATGCGTGCATTTCTGGACATATGTCGATTATTTAGGTAAATATTTTATTAAACGTTCAGCAGTTCACAACAAGAACACAAGGGGATGTAACAATTTTGTGGTCCCCAGATGTAGACAATCAATGGGACAAAGGGCATTTTATCTTCGGGGTCCAAAGGAATGGAATGGGCTACCTGACAATATTAGGAACGCTAAAGATATTGATAGTTTTAAGTGGAGACTTTTTAACAGGATATTTCATACGAAATAATTTTGAATATCTTTTGAATAATTTTGAATGTATTTTGAATTTAATTGAACTAGTGAGAAAATGAGAAATGCTAGCTGCCACCATGGTGAAAATGAGCAACAGTGAAAAAAAATATATGAACAAGAACACGTACAACATTTCCTCCATAAAACGTGTAACCAGGAAGTTTCTGGAAGTTTCATGTTGTAGTCATGCAAAACAATGGCAACGAAATACAGAACAAAGTGTGCTGCATGTCAAAAGTTGCTTTTTTGCTTATTAGACCTATTGTTGTTTTCTCACCATTCTCATTGCCTTTGCCACTTAGCATTACACAATGTTATATTTTGCTGGAGCAAACTATAAATATTACCGAGAGCTTCGCTTGTAGCCCTGGCTAAATCTATATATTATATTTCTGTTACCTCTGTTAAAGGGACACCTATTTTCAGGGGAAACGGGCACTCTTTCTTGGTTTTAACCTCCTCTCATGTAACACTTCTGTACTAAAAATTTGACTGACCGCAAAAAGTGTTAAATATACACTAGTCACAATGACGACAATCACATGAACTATCTCACTCAAATCGATGTACTACCGAGGGAGTGGCGGCTGCTTACAGAGGTTTGGGAGTAAATAACACCCTCTCTGTCAATCAAGCTATCAGCTATTTCACATGTTACCGGTGTTTCAAAACAAGTGTAATTGTGTAAGTGTAATCATCTTCCATCTATGGTTGGCTAAATGATTTTTATTTCACGGCTTATGCAATGTTTTTCTTTGAATACAATTGTCAGCAGCTCAACTTCTGGTTATCTAGGTGTTGCTCTATAATTAGACATTTGATTACACATTATAAATGCACATTTGATTTACCATAACCTTTTGAAATGAAAGGTATTGTTTTATTGCACATATAATTCACTATGATTTGGTTGTGTTCTAAGCCTTCTTATGACATGTTCTAACTGAAATGAAATAATAAAGGTTCACGTGGTGTTTAGTTTCAACAACTGGTTCTTTTGCAGATGACATTATTCATGTAGTCAGTAGTGTAAGGTATCGCCTCTACGGTTAATTATTCTCTGAGAACGTCCTTGAGATTATTAGACATGGTCTTAACATGAATGAACACGTTTTTCTCATTTTATCACAGAAAAAAATTATGATCAGTGTAAAACGCAGACTGCAGACTATTGTTTTCACCATGCAAATGAGTACGTGACAGCAATAGTCCCATTGTTTTCTAACCCACATTAGTCGGCAGTCTGCATTTTACACTGCCCCAAAAATTATCTTTGACGTACTAATATAGTGCTTCATCATTCCGGGGAGTGGGGTTATCCAAGCCCCCCCCTTCAAATGGAAATTCCAGGGGTGGGGGTTCTAAAGCAAAAGTGCCCTCCATGGTGGGTATGGATTTTTTGGAACTGCAGATTTTGACATGAAATGTTGTTTTATACATTTGGAAATTTTGTTTACTGCTTTTGTAATAGAAGACTCGATTCCCATTATCAGTCTTGACAGCATTTGTGATGTGTGTGAACTTGCTACACAATTTAATTGGCCGCAGACCTTAGCTTTATAGTACGTACACAGCACTAAAGGTAAATAGGTATGTTTATTGGAACAATGAAATTTTTTTTTTCATTTTCTGTCAACATTCCAAACCATGAATAGGCAGTTGCTGTAGGTGGTAGAATTTGATGTTGGACCTTGTAATTGCTTAATCATCTTTAATTTTTGCCTCTTTGTGCATCATAGACACAGGGAGGGACACGCCATATAAGTGTGACTTTTCCCTCCACAATTGAAACATTTCCCGGATAAGCGAAAACTGATGTTATTTACTGCAACAGTATTTGCTGTAACAAACTCTAATTTCTATTTCCTTATTAAATTGAATGAGCCTTGTCTTAAGAATCATGTGAATTTGCTGAGACCTATTTTCTTGACCTTTCCATGTAGACTTAGCAAGCTCCAAAAGTTTTACTTTGTCCTTGGCGGGGGAAATTAGCGCGTTGTTGCGCAATTAAGGTGATGCAGTCTGGACAGACTCTGTTTCGTACAGAAATGTATTACAGGTTGCCCTGTTTGTTTGATTAAATGCCACTGTGTTGTTAGTATCCTAAAGAAATTACTCTAAAACTCCAGAAGAGTTTGCTCACATTTACAGTTAGTGATTTGAGAGGAACCAGGTCCTTGGGGTTTCTGATAAAAAAAGGAAAATAATTAGACCATACAATAGGCAATGGTGTGGTAAGGTGATTCCACATTAATAATTATCTACAATGCAATGGCCATCCCTTTTTTAGTCCGTTTAGAGTTGTCTGATGGACTCAAATTTGTTGGCCTAACACTCTACATGCCACCGGTAATTGCAGTCAATCAGGCTTTCTCGCAAGAAGATTTCTTTCCACCTAGAAAAATCGCTTTGTGTGGCTGCCTCAGTTGTTATCCTATTTTTAAGGGTCTGTTCATGTTCCTAGTTAAAGCCAGCCAAAAAAAATAAACTAACAAACCAAAAAGGTGTTCACGCTTGTCCATAACAAGCCACCTCACTCCTTTTCTTATCTTTCTCGTACTACTTGGGTCAGTGATACAATTACACAAGACATTTCAAGCAAAATGGCGGGCGGCTATATTTCACGTTCTAGTCTTCCTTACTTTAAGAGCTTAAAAAGCCAGAAAGATAGAAAAGGTAGCCAAGTTTCTTCTAAATAGAAGAATCTTGAAAGGAAACGTTTTGAATTAATTTACCTTTATTTGGTACGTCTCTTTCATCATCGTGGTTTCTGTCAGCCTTCATTCTTCCACCTCCTCTGTTCATCAAATGCCTGTCTATGATCAAAGAAAATTAAGTAAGCCACTTAATTAAGTCACTTTTTGGGTGCAAGTTAGGACTTATGGAAAAGTCTCTTGACCCATGATTATGAAAATGGGAAGTCACTAGTGAAGTACCTCGTATGGATTTGATAAGTTTCGTCTGAAAAGAATATATTGAGGTTCTTTTTCTAACTCCCTGCACATGGTAATAATGGGTACATCGAACAGGGTGTGCAGACACATCTTCTGCAGCTATTTCCATAAGGCAAATTTTACACTGAAAGGATAATGGCAGAATACGGGTACACAAATGTAGAGGGTAGTTTTTAAAATAGACCATGTTACAGGTGTGTTCATCTTTCTTCAGATCTTCTCTCTGCCTCTTCCCAGATATTCCTAGCCTTTTCTCTGGGGTACACCTCCTTCTCCATTTCCCTCTCCCGATCCATGAAAGACATGTTGATAATGCGGTCTGAAAAATATATTTAAAGTCAAGATAAATAAACGGAATACACTCAAATAGGGACACCTTTAAAGGTAAGGAACTAGCTTACCTCTCCAAGGTCAAAACATTTCTGTGGGAATTTCTAAAGGCTTAAAAAAGAATAATAATTAGTTTTCAACAAATAATAATTTATAATGTGTTATCAACCCATGAACATTAACAGCGTTTGAGAAAAAACCATTGCAGTCGACTTAGCAGGTGTAGGACTGGGTACTCGCAAAAATTTAAGCCATGCCACATGTATTTCGGCGGTTGACTAAATGTGAACCAAAGAGGAATGTTTTCTTAAAGCTATTTCTGTCATCAGTTAATTGGGGATAATCGTGACTTACGCGTGTAAATTGTAAGTATTTTGACTTTATCGGGTTCGCCATTTTAACATTTCTCGAACTTGTTTCAAAAGTTTACCTTGTTTTCCTTAAGGCACTTGCGTTCTAATTTGGCAGCTAGAAAAAATTACTCCAGTTACTGTTTTGAACAGGTAACGTTTTTTAGCGTAAACAACAATTCAGTTTATTTACTTCCTGAGGTACAGCCCCAATCAATGGAAATTTATCATTTAAATGTTTCGGTGAGGCTGTCATGGCAATACAGATTCCAGCCATGAAGCAAAGACGGCAAAATATTCCCGTGGTGGAAAATGTGTCTATTTAGATAATTAAGTGACATAAAAGTGCTAATGGTCCTGTTATCAGTTCCCAATATTAATGGCCCACGAAAAGTTGAAGTAAAATTCAAGATAACAAATTACGTGTGGTCCTGGAAAAACAAAAAAAACATGCTGGTACCGTGACACCTATCAACATATTTTGTTACCAAAAATAATTAAGACGGCATGCACAAATGTAAGCCGAAAGAGGTTTCTTAAGTTTTACTTTTTATGTACTGTTGATGATGCAAATATGAGCCCGAAATATCAAAGAATTGATGCCAGTTAGAGTCGTTACCCATATCCTTAGGTTCAGCATATATATAATTAGAAAATGATGAATATTCGGAACCGGAAATGAAACCTCTGAGAGTGAAAAGAGAAATAAGTATCAGCGCACACAGACACGAGTGCGCCGCCATTCTGCGTCCTAAAAAAATGCTTTTAAGATGTTCCGCTTCAGCCTGTCCGCCTTCTTAACGGATGTTCAATAATGGATAGAGAAGAACGAAACATTGGAAATTTATATTTCCGACTGTTCGACCCAAGCCACTTGAAAGGTCGCGTTGATGGCGGAATTAAAACTTCTGTGTTTGATATGGTGCAATGACCTTCTACAGTGCTAGGCTGACAATTTTATCTTAACTGGTGCAAATAAAAAGGCCCATAAGAGACAATAATGTCATCAATAACGTCTGCGTGCGAGGCTTCATCCTCCACCACTTCCAGGCCTTGTTGTTCCATGCATTTATAAATAAAAACCTCTTTTAGAATTATAACGTGCTAAGATTTACGAAGCCATTATAGTATAAAATAATATGGCAAAAGAGGTTCTTATACAAAGCCCGACATCAGCTAGAGATGGCACCAAAA